TGACAATATCTCTGCATACTTGCTTTGACATGATTCCCAATTGATGTTTTCTTGTGTTTTTATTTCATTTTTCTCATAACAAGCTATTTAAAAGTACCTATATATCCACACAAATGAGCTTCCTGGCGCCATGTTTAATTGCAAACAGGAAGTTGTGGTTGATTTGAAACAATCTGATTGGCTGACATACTTTTCAGCTTTGTGCTACAGTGGGTTTGGCGTGTTTAAAAGAACTCTCAGTAGTGGATTTGTGTGGATTCACATGAATAAAAATATTTCTGACACCAGTCCTGTGTGTACAATATTATATTTTAAAAATAGGTGATGGAAATTTTCATTTTCATAAAGACCCGGCTACATTTGTACAAGTGCTAAAGCCGTAAGAAAGCAAAATGTGGAAAAAGTGAAGCATTGTGAATATTTTCCAGATGAACTGTAGGTGGCGCCATAAAAGAGATTGTATAATTCTGACCCTGTGTTCTAACTCTCTAAAAAAGCAAGAATTTTACAAAACCTCTGCTGCACACACTGAATGGTAAAAGCTGAGCCATCTGGTTTAACTTTTGTCGATTCTGATTTTCCAGAGTACAGTGATGGAAATGGAAAGATTAAATCATTACAACTAAGGTGACCTTCAACAATCCACTTAAGCCCCAGCTGCCCAGACTGAGCTGCATAATGGTCGTTAATAGCAGACTCATCCACAGGAAACTGCTTACAGGTAGCAATGATTACGATAATGGATACAGAAAATAAACAAAATAAATAAGTAAAGATTATGGTCAACTGTCCATGGCTGAGTAAAAACAGGAAATACAATGAAAACTGGAAAGCCCAGACAGAGTATGCCCGTAAGGATGCATTGCAAGGCGGTGTGACTAATGGAAAGGCATCGGTATCAAGGTAAGAGCTGATAGCCTTGAGCTGATAACAGGAGAGTGGAGGGTGGAGGAGCACATTAGGACTGAAAGCCCAGTGATGGTCTGGTGATTTTTATCTGTTTTTTCTGTCTTTAAGAACTAAATCATCAAACATTTTATACTTTATTCCTCAGCTCAAAATCCATAAAAACAGGAGCAATGGAGGATATTTTCACATTAAAAGAACAATATTAATGTAGAAATTAACTGAAAATTAAAGCAGTGGTAAGTACTTGGATGTGTCAATTTTCTACAGAATATTAACATTCCTTGAGGTTCGTCATGTTTTGTCACTCTAAAACCACAAATTTCAGTGTATTTTGTTGGCATTTGTCATTTAATGACTAACAGGAAAGAGCTGTCAAGGCACTGCTAAAAACAAAACAATAGAGTATTGCTCAGATCCAAAGTTTGGTTTTCAGACACTGATTGCAAATCAGAAGCAGCAGTATGCATTTGTCCAGAATGAACCATTAAAAATGACTTAATGACTTAAAAATGACTCAGTACTTACTGAAACACCATTTGCACAGCATGAGTGCGGATTTCTATGGGCCACCTCCAAACGGATCATACTTGCTTGTCCTCATAGATGAGTAAACACTCTTCTTTTATTGTGAAGATTATAAAACTGTATGAAGTAAACTTTTGAAGTTGAAGAGAGTTACAAGTAAATCTCTAAAAAATGTTCTCGCTCAGCCTTCTGGCATTTAGCAAATTGAAATAATCTTTATTTTATTTATTTATTTCGATTACGATAGCAATATAAAATAACACCCCTGAACAAGGAATGGAAAAGGCAAATTTTTTTGTACCACAATAATATTAACATGCTCGAAAAGGAGTAGGAAAAAGTAAGATCATGGCATTGTCAGTCTCTGACATTCCACCCAAATCCAATTGAGAATCTGTGGCAAAACCTGAAAAGTGTCCTTATTTTTTAAAGGGCTTAAGGTATTTCATGAAGAAGAATGGACAAAAGTACCAATTTCTAGATGTGCAAACCTGCTGGGCACATACCTTAGAAAATGTGCAGCTGCATTTGCAGCAAAAATCTATTTTTTGGTATTTATGGGTAAAAAGAATATTGAAAAGCATGTATCGTTTTACATCCACTTCCCAAATATACAGTGCTGTGTGTTTTGGTCTTTCGCATAAAATCACAACAAAATACATTTTACTTATTAGTTCTAATGTGACAAAATCAATCAGTAGACACACTGTCGGACAGCACTGATTAATAAACACAAGACATTTGGATGAACTATGTTACACTGTAAGTCCTTTCCTCTTAAAGACAGGATAGACAGAAGCATGTAGACATTTTGGTTTCTTATGAAATGTCTAAAATGTTAATTTTAGAAATCTGCAATGCTGCTAAGAGTCAAAAAGACGTACTAACAAAGTACGAGTTTCACACTGAGACACAGAAGTGAAGCCATATTTTGAAAAATTCCAAGTGAAACATTTTTCCAGTTGTTTGTTCAGCTAAGAGTTCAGATATAAAAAAGAGAAAGATACACCTGCAAAATGTAAGACTACTGCGTCAACAGTGACTTTTTCCTCAAACTAAACATGTTACAAATCATCATGATGGTTCGCAGTCTGCATTTCTCTGCAGCGTGCATGCATTCTGATTCTCACATAAGATTTTTCCACAGCTTAAAAAAAATGCTTTGTCCAAACATTGTATGCATCTTGTCAAAAACCATGAAACTTGGAATAAATCAAGATCTAAACCCAGTACATACACTTCAAATCAGTCTTGCGAAGTTTTTATATACATTGTTCTTTGCTCAATTTTATCCAATTTCCAAAAGCTTTTTGCACAGATTAGCCCTTTATCTTTGAACTGTTCCACTTGCTGAGTAAAAACCCAGTGACGAAAGAAGACCAGTGGTCAAAAACAGCTTTTATTAGAGATAAACTTATCAAGCTTTGACTAGTCAACCTGAGCTGTGTATGACATTCCAGTCCCAATTCTAACTAAAACTTTAAATGTTACAGATTTTGAAGCAAAACCAATCTAAAATCAAAGAAAGGAAGTTACTTCACTGCACAGCTGAATCTTTCATGACATTCTTTCATTCGTGACATATGAATAACATCAGACTAAACCTCAAGCACGTTTTAAAGTCACGTGTTCAGAACATCAGAAAACCAACCACTTCTACTGAACTCTACCAATCCATTCCAAGGAAAGTGGTCCAACCAGACTGATACCTGAAGCTTGATGACTGATAGAAAACTCCTGCAGTGAGGATGCAACTGGACGTGTGTGTCTGTGTGTATATATATATATATATATATATATATATATATATATATATATATATATATATATATATATATATATATATATATATATATATATATATGTGTGTGTGTGTGTGAGCATCTGTAAAGTTTTGAACGTGTAGATTACAGAAAATCCATAATAAATTAAAGTTTGTGTATCCAATTCATGTTTTTGAAAATCAGTAAAGTTTAATGTTGTCTAACCATTCAAGAATAGAGAATACTTACCGTGAATGTAATGAGTGACTGTTTGCAAGGATTTAACTACGCTTATGAGATCTGCAGTGTTTACCACAGAGCTCCATTGATCTCCGCCAGCAACCACAGAGGACCGATACAAGTGACCACATCATTAATGTAAGGAGTTCAAAGCCATCCTAATACCCAGACTCAACCATACACAGCCTGGGGGAGTCATTTTCTGTGCGCTATAGGATCCTTTATGCAAGGCTGATGTATTAGCCAGTAACAGAATACAGGTAAGTGCATTACTTTATATCATAAAATATGGTTATGTCATGGTTTTGCTTTTTTTTAATTTATTTATTTTTGCTTTTTCTGCAACTTTTGGTGAGTCAATTATATACCATATGATCACATCCCACAGCTGGAGCTAGAGTCACCAAATCAGCACAAAACAAATATGCTGACACATAATCCACCTGCAGTATTTGCATATAAAAAAAACCTTTTCCATATTTTGTTGTCACGTCTGTCTTCAGTATTTTTATAGGAATTTTATGCAATAGACCAACACAAATATTGCATACTCATTATATAGAAGGAAAGGGTTTTTAATTTTTTTCCTAGTTGAAATCAGAAATGTTTTGTGGGAGAAACTCTGATAGAGGCTGCAGATAAGTTCCTACCAGGATATAGGTTTGCTTCCAGGAGGACATCAACCCAAATCATACAACCAGAGCTACAATGGAATCGTTAAAACCACAACAAAACCACAACATGTTAGGATGTTAGGATGACCTAGTCAAAGTACAGACCTAAAGACTCTGTGGCAGGACTTGAAAACTGATCTTCATCCATCGTAGGCTAGTTTTCAAAGAAGAATATGAAAAAGACATCAGAGGTTAGAGCTGCTGGAGACATGCGCGTCAAAGAATGTGCAACTGGTGGTTCGAAAGATATTGACTCTGGGGGAGCAGGCTAGAAATGCAGACCACATTTTCTTGTTTTTGTTTTTAAATAAATTTTACTAATACATGAAATCCAGCCTGAACTCCTTCACTCGCCAAGCGAATGCTGGAGATGAGCGGTTCAGACAATGGATGGACAAAAACCCAAACACAAAATCTTCCCACAGCATGATCCTTTCTGTTTACTAATCAGGAAAATTATTGAATTTTGATTTGGAGATGTCCAAATACTGTATAGTGGAGCAACCACAAATGCACACCAAACTTTAGGGTCTCATTTTTAAATAACTATAGAAAATATTTTCATTCCAATTTGCAGTTATGCACTACTTTCTGTTGGTCTATTACGTAAAATATCAAGAAATATATTCAACTCTCAACTTTGCTGAAAAGTTGAAGGAAAACAGCAAGATTTCAAACACCAGAGAGCAACCAAAAGGAACGAATGTGAAACTCTTTCAGTTCGCAGCTTTGCACCAGTGATGGTACGGACATTCACATTTATAGATCCAGGTTACAGTATATAACCCAAAGATAAAGTTAAAAGAGAATCTAAAGCTGCAGCAGTGGAAGGTGTAGTTTCAGTATGCACCAGTGTAACCTACTTGCAATGCCAGTGTCATTATCAGAGTCCAGAGCTTCAAGCCGAGACGAAAAAGGCTTTTCCCCCTCCATCAAATATTCTTGAACCAAGACCAGCCAGCCTCTTACCCAGTATAAACCGTGGGACTTTTTTGGCTTGTTATGAAGGCTTCTGCGGCAAAATATATACTCACCTCTAGCAGACATGCCCGGTAGGTAGAGCCTCTTTTCCTTTGCTGAGATTGAATAGTAGGAGAATCAGTCCCGGTTCAACAGCTTTAAGGAAGCTTGGGGAAAACAATAGCTTATCTTTGCGTTAAGTTTTTCCAGTTATTAAATGGCATTTAACGCAGGGAAACATTCTGCAATGAGGTGGACTGGAGAAGAATGCGCGATGGAGAGAGCACTTTCCAGCTGCAGGGCGTGTCCTGGAAAAGACAGCATCCTTTCTTTTTTTTATGTCCCAGCCAGTTTCTGTCCATATTTGAACATGATATCAGGTAATTACAGTTATTTATGGAGTCGTATTTGAAATGCCTCGTCTGCAGCTGGATTCAGCCCTCAGGAGAGAGCCGAGAGCCTGCCTGTTCCCTGTCCGGGATGACTGCGCGGTTCTCACGTAGTGGGGTTAAATTACAAACTTGACGGTTACGGTGGAGAAATTCCTACAGATATTGGGGCAAATTTACAGTTAAAGTATCGGGAGGATCCTCCACCCCTGCAAATACTCAATGCAATCCATATAAAGGAAGCGTGAACTCAGCCTGGCATATAGGAAAATTATGGCGGTTTGAAGGGAAATATTTACAGGTGGTGTATTAATCCTTTCATGAGCAGTGGTCATGAATAGCTGACAATTATCCAAAAGTCTTTTTTTTTCTTTTTTTTTTTTGCATATGCTTGTGTTCGTATTGTTGTCAGGCATTTTAGCCACATTTTATGTGTACACTGCCTCCCACTGGGCGATCAGTGTTAGTTCACAAAAAATGTCTTCAAACTTTAAATGTATCGAAGACCAAAAGTGCCACAATTATGTAAAAAAAATCTATACATATATGTCATAATTTTGGTTAAATGTGATAAATACAGTAAAATAAATAAAAATATTTATGTATACATTAATAGTGTTTTGTACTTACACAATTAAATAATTAGATGTCAAAAATCATTAATGAAATTTCTGATTCAGCCTATTAAAAAATAGAATTTAACACGTCTCTGCCAAATAGACCATGACTTTAGATTGGTTAGAATGCACAGGAAGTTATCTTCAGACCAATCTCCTTGTGAATGGATCGCACATTGACTTTAATGTCTTAGGATAACATATTTTTAAAATGATGAGGTGTAGCAACACAGGATTATGAAATAATTTTTTATGCTGATAATTATATTTTTGAAAATGGTCATATGTATTTTTTCAATAACTCAAATATGTATTGAATTATAGCAGTTTAGACCCTTGATATTAAAGAGATCCAATGACTTATACATAAATATATTCATCTGGATAATCATATGTAATTAAATACATGAAATAGATTATAAAAGCATACAAAAAGTATAAATACCCTTTTTATTTTTATCTAATTGACATTTAAAATATATATTGGTAAATTATGTTCTATTCAAAATTTTACACATTTAATAAATATATTTTTAGAAATGGATTAATTTATGGAATTAGACAAAGATATTTTTAGCCTTCATTGAGCTCACCTTTCTAAACAGAGTTCAGTTTTGTGCAGAGACTGTTGCCCGGTGCATCGGCGCCCTCTGGTGGTCACTATCAGAAGCGTTTGGCGAGGGAAGTGCCACCGTGTCCAAAGTGAGCCTACCTTTCCTCTGAGCCCTTAGACGTCTTGTTTACAGTAGCGGTGCCAGGCCTGTAAAGTTGCGAGGCCCAGAACGTGCTGCGAGTTTATTGCTTTCATTATATTCTTTCGTTTCAAGGGTCATTGTATGAAACCTCCAATCTGGAGCGAGGCGGCAACAACAGGAAGAAGAAGATAGAGGAATTCTCTAGGTCTTCTCGGGAGAAACTGGTCCAGTCGAAGAACAAGATGTTCTCCAAATTTACGTCCATTCTCCAGCACGCCGTGGAAGCGGTGAGTTTTATTAAAGCTGGACGTTTTTTCTGTATCGGTTTTCGTTTGGTGGCGTTAATCTGGATTGAAATCGGTGTTTTGTCAAAACGTCAGCATTAGGCTGTTAGCTAGCGAGCTAACAATTCGCATGATATTTGTTTTCTGCTCGTTTCTTTTCACTCGGTTCCCTCATCTGTGTCTTCTTTTTTTGTTTGTTTAGTTGGTTGATTTTTATGTTTTCAAAGAGTGACAAGTGTATACATTAATGCGAATTATTTCAAAAGCTACCTTTCTGCTCTTGATATGCTAAAAGCTAAGCTAACATCTTCGCTAGCTGTTCATGCTATTTCAAACAGTATGTCGAAATATTTGGACCGTGATGTTGCGCAAACATGCTATTAACCATTTCAAATTGACAGTCCGTGGCCTTTCTGCCTCAGTACTTTGCTAAAATGAAACATTAAATGTGTGCAAGTAGGGTGCCTGATTAACAATAAGCACCTAGCTGCAGGAAAACATGTCCTTCTCCTCCTATTGTTTGTAAAGCTAAACAGTCGACTGGTTTCCTTGCCACCTAGAGGAGTGGTCGTCGATATGTTTCCAGTTGCTGCCTCACAAAATAAAAATGCAACAGTCATGATCTCGACTCATTGTTGGGCATACCACCATTTGTACCGAGTGTTCCAATAAGAACACCAACGACAGCCAGTAATATTAGCGAAAATGTTGCTTTAATTTATTAACCAGTCCTGTCTTTTTTTGTATTTTTAATTTTTAGAACATTTTAAAATTGCATTTACTTTCTTATCATTTGGGGTAATATCTGAAGAGGACCACTAGTCCTCCAGTGCCACTGTCCTGCAACTTTTGGATGCATCCCTGCTCCAACACACCTGAATCAAATGAGTGGTTAATGACGAGGTCTTTATAAAACTTGCCGATATGTCAGAAGTTGCAGGGCCATTTGGCTGATTTTTAAAAAATGAGAATAAAACTACTTTGTTGGGTGAAAAACATCAACAAAAAGGCCTGGTTGCTTACAGGAATAATGAGGAAAAATAGAAAACAAATATGTTGGACGTTTGTTTATGTTTATTCTGGCAATTGCAAAACCTGCAATAGGAAATAGAACGCTGTTTTTGAGAGGCCATTCAAGCCACAACATATACAAGTTCATGATTCATATTTAAGGTAATTTGCAGAAAAATAAATATTAAAATACTAACAATAAAAAGTGATACATTTAAGGGAAAATTTTAAAAGCGGTAACTCACTTGGACACGATGAAATTTAACTGATATTTTTTCTGTCTTGTTTTCCAGCTTGCTCCATCTCTACCCTTGCAAGAAGACTTTGTCTATCATTGGAAGGGCATTACACATTATTACATTGAAACTTCTGGTAAGACATGTTTGAAATCTGATCATAGCTGAAGAAGAAATGATTGCTATCTAGATTTATTTCTGCATTAACACATTAGTCCTTTGCAATGCTGAAAAGGCACCTTGTTCACAGCATGTTTTTTTATTTGAGTGACAGTGTTTTTTTTTTGTTGTTTTTTTTCTTAATTGAGTCAGGCAGGATCATCCTGAAATATTTTTTTATTTTTATATCAGTTTATTTTTAGCCCCAATGGAAAAATGCTGCTGTTTCATGTTGGTATTGATCTGTGTTGCACTTTTTCAGTCTAAAACTAGATATCATCAACACTCTTCTCAGGGTTGATAATTCGAGCTAAATGGAAGGATTCAGATTTGCACATTCTTTGAAAGCCTGTTTGCATTGTGAGAGCAGCCTCACTGTTTCAGAGAAAGCACAAAATGGAAAGTCGCTAACTGTCAAGTATTCTGAGAATGTCGAGCTTGCATTGCAGTAGCCTTTCACGATGCTTAGCCGTCTTCTTTTCCCCTTGCTCATCTATAGAAGTAATATTAGATACTCATATTACGCAAATGTCTGGCAGCTAAAACCCGACTTTTTAAAGTTTGACTCTTCTAATTAGAGTTGCACAATATATTGAATCCTTGAAGTGTAAGCGTGTGCAGCATCGCAACTGGAAACGACTAATGTTGCAACTTTTGTAAGTTATTACATTTCAGGTAGCTTGCAATAATGCCAATGATATATTTGGCTGCTTCAAGGAACTCTCTCTGTCTGCAAAGGCCTCACCTCCTTACATGTTTGAACAATTATTCACTCCATTTCTGGATGCTGTGCAGCTGGAAGGATTTTTTGCTCTTACTTTTTAACATTCTGACAGCTGCTATGATGCGTAACCATGGCTGTGGCTGCAATGTATTGTTTTTACAACTGGGAGCAGCTGATTAGCATCTCAAATATTATTTGAACTACGACCCCAAATCCCAGGGAGTTGAAAAGGAGGCCTCATGGCTGCAGAGCTGAGAGAGAAGGAGGAAGTTCAAACCGTCTCTTCCATCCATCATAATGGGCAAAAATCATATCCCTGGCAGGGTGGCAAAAGCAAAGGAGGAGGATTAGCAGTACTTGCCTGTAAAGGTCTTTAAATAGAACAAACTGAACTAATGTAACAGAGCTACTTTAACATGCTGCCACCATGATCGATATAATTCTATAAATTATTTCTATTATATTTTGATTTGGTGTGTTTTACTTTTTCATTTTTGCTTTTTATGGTATTAATAAGGTGCTTAACATGTTTCTGTTAGATGACAAAGCCCCAGTCACAGACACCAACATCCCATCCCACCTGGAGCAGATGCTGGACATTCTGACCCAGGAGGAGGCAGAAAGGGAGTCTGGTGAGACGGGACCCTGCATGGAGTACCTCCTGCACCACAAGATCCTGGAGACCCTCTACACGTTGGGCAAAGCAGATGTAAGGAGGTCTTTCATTGTTCTAGATAATTAGGTTTTATTTAATTGTTTGCGGAAAACTGAGGTGGTTTTCATCAGATTGTTTCTAAACGTTGTGTTTCAGTGTCCTCCTGGGATGAAACAGCAAGTCCTCACCTTTTACACAAAGCTGCTCGCTCACATTCGTCAGCCGCTTCTGCCACACATCAACGTCCACCGACCTGTGCAGGTGAGACGCTTCACCGTCTGCTATTCTTCTCTGTGTGTGATGGCACGTTACTTATTTAGGACGTTTTCCCTCCGATCGATCTGTCAGAAACTGATCCGGCTGTGTGGTGAGGTTCTGGCTGCGCCTACAGAAAACGAGGAGATCCAGTTTCTTTGCATCGTCTGTGCCAAACTAAAGCAGGACCCGTACCTTGTCAACTTCTTCCTTGAGGTGGGTTCTTGTGAGAAGAAATGTGGAGCTTTTATTAAAGTTTTAAACGTCTGGGTGTCAGACTGTTTTTACATTTTAAATGTTTGCAGAACAAATCAAAGAGACCAGAGGTAAAGAGTCCTGCTGCAGCAGAGGGGGGGAAGGACAGTGTTCTGGCTCCAGATACGGGCCAGTCTCAGGCAGATCATCCTGGAGAGCCTCAAGCCGCAGCTGCTGCTGCTGCCACCTCCAGCCCAGCTGCTAACAATAACAACACCAACAACTACAATCTGGTCACCTCGCTGCTTAACCTCACAAAGAGTCCAGTAAGTCAATTTCATATGAATAATTTTGCTCATTTTATAAATTTTTCTGCATGATCGTCAAAAATCCCAACTTTCTGTTCACTGAACTCACCTTATGGAAAATCAGTGACAACCTTTGGCCTGAAAGTTGTTAGCTATTTACAGTATGAGTGAGTTATTCAAAACATTAAGACGGAGGAATTTAAAATAAAATTGTATTTTGTGTTGGTTCAGGCTGCGAGAGAGAGCAAGACTTTAAGCTGAAAACAGGAAGGTTGAACAGAGTAAAGCAAAATCTGATCACGTCTAAAATCAGGATTGTTTTCTTTTCTTTTTAGGATGGCAGGATAGTGGTGAAAGCATGTGAGGGCTTGATGCTCCTCGTTAGTCTGCCTGAGCCAGCTGCTGCCAAGTGTTTAACAGAAAACACGGAGCTGTGTGAGCTTCTCACCGACAGGCTGGTTTCGTTTTATAAAGCTCTGCCGCCGTCCATGGACCCCCTGGACATCGAGACAGTGGAGTCAGTCAACTGGGGGTAAATCGGAGTTTAACTCCGTTTTCAATTTGTTGTCTTTAAATAACATTTTGTATGAAATTGTGTTTTGATTGGCCTTACAAGTCCTTTTTTTCCTCCTTTTTGTCTGTTTCAGTCTAGATGTATACAACCTGAAAGAGGACGCTGCTGTCTTCACAGGGAAGAGAGCTCTGATATCATTCCTGTCGTGGCTCGATTATTGCGATCAGCTCATCAAGGAGGCACAGAAGGTTTTTTTTTTTTTTTGTTTTAACCAGCTCTGATTGTTGTGCTTTGATGTGTTGTATTGTAGTCTAAATTGACAGAACTACCGATGTTCTCTCTGAAAAGCTTTTTCTTTGTTTTTCTGTCTTCCAGTTGGCCGCTGCAGTGATGGCAAAGGCTGTGAGAGAAAGATTCTTTGTGTCCGTGATGGAACCGCAGCTCATGCAGACGTAAGTGCTGCTCCTGATTCATCCATCAATCATCGCGCATTGACATTTCTAGACTCGAGTGAGTCATGACTGCTCCGAAACAAGTTTCCTTTGCATGCTGCCGCAGGTCCGAGGTGGGAATCCTGACCTCCACAGCGCTGCTGAACCGCATCATAAGGCAGGTGACGTCCGAAGCGCTGCTGCAGGAGATTGTTTACTTTCTGCTGGGAGAGGACAAGGAGGCAGAAACTCTGGCTACCGTCGCTCAGAATCCACTCAGACACAGACTCATCGAGCACTGTGACCATCTGTCAGATGAGGTTGTCATCTATCATATTCATACCCCTTGAACTTCCTCACATTTTTACACAAAACAACCACAAACTTCAGTGTTATTATATGACCGAGCAACACAAAGTAGCACAGAACTGTGGACGGAAAAAGATTTTAATAAACTGTGGAAAATGTGGCGTCCATTTGCATCCTGCCACCTTGACTCAACACCAGAACCACCATTTTGATGCATTTGCAGCTTGCGAGTTTTAATAGGAGTCTCGACTATTTCTAGACACAAAGGCTAAAATTTTGCGTATTCCTCTTTGCCAATAACAAAAAACAAAAACAGCTCAAGTTTTCTGTGTATTTAGCTTCATTTATTCTACCATCAACTCTGACCTGCTTCCCTCTTCCTGCTAAAGAAAAGCATCCCCACAGCATGCTACTGCCACCACCACACTAACTAAACATTGTGTGTGTGTGTGTTTTTTTTACAACACATAAAGTTTTGGGTGCATATCAAAAAGTTAGACATAGCCAAAAACATTAACATCATTTTCTTTCAGTAAATACTTTAAAATTTCCTTGTGGTTTTGGAGCTGCAAGTGGCTCTTTGGAGTTTCCACAATGGCTCTTAGTAAATGGCTAAAAATTAAAAGAACCAGAAAATGTTTTTAAATACAGATATAATAACAAATGCAGGTTTTTAACTGTTTTTTTTCCTGCAATATTTGCACTAAATTTAAAAACTATGACATTAAGGTACCAGAAATGTCTTAAATCTGTTTTCCTTGTCATTAGGTTGAAATCTATGCATATATAAACATATATCTATATATAGATACATATCTTCATTTTAAATCCTAAAAAATAGAAGTAAAATCCTGGTTCTTTAAAAATGACTAGATATTTCCAAAATTACTCATTTATCTAAAAAGTTGCCTTTTTTTTTTCCCAAAAAGTCATGACATTTGGGGCTTTAAAGTTTTATTTGGCTGCTCTGAGAGCCAAATGACTCGTGAGGGCCACATTTTTTTCTAACATATGCAATAATGTATTATTTTTCATTCATTTAACAAGTATGTCTTGGTTTAACCACATACATTTTTAATTGGAAATCTTTTTTCTTTTTCTTTTGCATTGTGTAATTTTCTTGTTCACTGAAGCTCCTTGAAAGCTCTCTAATGAGCAACTAAAAGCTGAGAAATACTAATTAGAGCATGACAGAAGTTCTCAGAGCACAAAAGAAAGATGAATCATTTTTGTGTTGTTAAAGCAACAGCCGCCTACTTCCCTGTCGAGCAAATGAATCTTTCTTGTCTTCAGATCAGCATCATGACGCTGCGGTTGTTCGAGCAGCTGATCCAGAAGCCCGACCAGCACATCCTGCACAGCTTGGTGCTGCGCGGCCTGGAGGAGAGGAACTACTTGGAGAACAAACCACAGGAGGAGCGGGAGGAGCGGGAGCCCCTGGAGAACGGGCAGCCCCACGACGCTGTGTAAGGACCTGCTGTCGTCCTGCGGCTTCTGCCTGAACAAAAAGCACTGCAAATAAAAAGAATGCATCAGTTATCTGTGTTGTAAATGAGCTGGAGAGTCTTCTGTTCAGTTTGGTTTTATTTACCGTTCCTCTGGTGCTGTGATTAAGTAGCAATCGTTGTGATGTGGAGGATTATTAGCATAATTGAAAGTTGTGGATAAAAATGAAATCCAATGAGCATTAATTAGCTTCTTTACTTTAGCTTGGTTAATGTGACCTAAGGAAACCATTAAGACACACGCTTGCCACAGCTGTCTGGTTTTCCTCATCCAGCTGCTTCATAAGCTTCAGAAATACTGATTTCATTCAGCTGTTCACATAAAGTACTCGACATAAGTCAGATTTTTATTTATTCATTTTTTTAATTTCTGAACAAGTTCTGGTAAACAATGTGAAGCAATGACAAAAAGAAAAGATTTTTAACATAGATCTGTCTAAAAATAACAAGACAAGACTTGATAATGAGAACAAATCTCCGTCTGCAGGGACCTGGAGGAGGATCCGCTGTTTGGAGACGACCTTTCCCCAGATAGCAGGCTGTCTGGCTCTGACTGGCTCGGCTCCTCACCCCAACACAGCCCTGATCACTCAAAGTCTGACGGGAAAACCGAGGTCCACAAGATCGTCAATAGGTGCTGGATCTGTTCCTGCTGCAGTGCTGGATGAAGCGTCTCTGTTCTAACTCTAGTTTGTTTCCTGCAGCTTCCTGTGTTTGGTGCCTGATGAGGCCAAGTCGTCGTATCACGTCGAAGGCACCGGCTACGACACCTACCTCAGAGACGCTCACAGACAGGTCAACTCCACTCCTCCAACCGAGAAAGTCTTCTGCTTTTGTCTTCTTCCTTTAAAGGGTTTTATTTTCGCCTCAGTTCAGGGACTTCTGTGGCGTCTGCCAGCGGTGGGACTGGAGAGGAAGTCCGAAGCCTCTGGAGAAATGTAACTTGGACATGCCGTTCTTTGAAGGTCACTTCCTAAAGGTTCTGTTTGACAGAATGGGTCGCATCCTTGATCAAGTGAGTTTGATTTAATATACCGTTATTTTCCGCTCTATAAGGCGCACCTAAAAACCTTCAATGTCCTCAAAAGCCGACAGTGCCCCTTATAATTCGGTGCACCTTATATATGGACCAATATTGAGCCACAACAGGTCTACCAACTACGGTAAGCAGCAGCCAATTTCATTTTCGCCCATAGAAGAAGAAGCGCTCGGTGCATGCTGGGATAGTTGTCAGCGACTATTCTATGCGCCTTATAATGCGGTGCGCCTTATATATAAAAAAAGCTTTAAAATAGGCCATTCATTGAAGGTGCGCCTTATAGTGCGGAAAGTACGGTAATTTCAAATCTTGAAGGAATGTTGAATATCGAGTTGCTTAATCGCATCTGCAAGGTTAGTTTAGGGACTTAAATCGATTCTGTTTTTGATTAACTTCTTTAATCACAAACGCTTTTGATTCTCCTAATAGTTAAAGGATATCAAAATTCTTATTGTCTGGCCCTAATTCCCTAGTTTCATATTTGTTTTGACCTTTAAATGAAACTTTGAGAACGAATCGCTTATTTCCTGCTTTGTCCTTCTTCCTGCAGCCTTATGACGTCAACCTGCAGGTGACTGCCGTGCTCTCCAAGCTGTCCTTGCTGCCCCACCCTCACCTACATGAATACTTGCTGGACCCTTACATCAGCCTGGCCCCCGGCTGCAGGTCCCTGTTCTCCGTCATCGTCAGGGTGAGACGTCCTCTTGAAATACCACAACCATCACAGAGAATGTTTCTATTACTAAAGTTTACAGACTGGAGTTGATTTAATATTGGTTATTTTTTTTATTTTGTGGCAGCTGCCTTGGAATTATCAGAAGTTTCATCAGTTTGATAACTGTGTGAAATTTGCCACATGTTTGTTCCCAGAACTACAGTTCCTACCTGGAGAATGAATTCTGGGAATTTGCTCAGGGCTTTTCTTTTATCTCAGCTTACACATTTACAGGCTAATTGAAGCAGCTGCTAAAAATCAGAAGGCAGTGCATAAACATTAGCAGTTTTTTTTATTAGCCTTGTTTAGCACACTGAATGGAGGAAGTCAATATAAGACATCATGCTAGTGATACCCCACATGCCATTGGCAGCATTTAGCATAACATTAGCATTTTGACTATTTTTTACTTATACACTAACATACTGAATGGAGCAAGTCCATGTTACTCAACATCAGCTTGTGACTCTCCACATGCTATTGAGTACATTGTAGCGTACTTTAGCATTGATGCTAATTTTCAGCATCAGAATGCTGGGTTCCAACTGACAGGCACACTTTGGCAGGCCCCTTTTAAATTTCTTCAGACATTTTCTGGTTTCCATCTATTGTAACTAGGATCACATTTAATCTTTGACCTAAGCGCTAATATACACTTTAGTGCCTTTAACTTAACTAAAAACAGCAAGTGTTTTCAAAAGAAGACTGACCTAGATCCTGCTTTTTGTTGCTGAGAACAAACAAAATATATTTGTTTTCTTCAATTGAGCCCAAATTAATAAGTAAATGTGCAAAAACTATCTGAAGTTTTGTATCTACAAAAACAATTGATTATTAAAATATTCATGCTTACTGTATTTTTGAGTAGGTTAAAAAAATTGCTACATTTTTGGTTATTTTCTTAAAGATGATATTGTTCACATTTGAACTGACAGTTTTGGCCTGAAAGTTTGGACACCCCTGTTCCAGAGGGAGAAAAGACTTTTGTCAAAAACAAAAGAGAAATCCTAAAACGGCTCAAATATGACGCTACTGCATTTACGTGAAGAAGGAAGTTTTACTCATGTCTTCTTCAGAGGTTTTTGTGTCATTTCTTTCAGTGGTTGTTGGTGCAGCGCCACCACAGGCTAGGAGGGGAACAGCTTTTTCAAAGGGGTTTCCTTTGTTTGACACAGTACAGTGTGAAAGCAAACCGCACCAGCTGAAAATGTAACAAATCAGGTGTGAAAAGGCCCTGGGTAAACTCTGTGTCCTCAGGTGGTTGGAGATTTAATGCTGAGGATTCACCGCATCCCAGACTTCACCCCCAAACTGCTGCTTGTGAGGAAGAGACTACTGGGCTTGGAGCCAGAGGGAGTCACGTACGTACTTACTGACGGCATCAGCCGCTCTTTCTTTGAGGTGACCTCTGAAACGCCCCCTCTCTCCCTCTTTCTGTCCTCACAGCGTGGACCACAGTACGCTGCTCGAAGGTGTCATTGTGCTTGAGGAGTTCTGCAAAGAGCTGGCAGCCATTGCCTTCGTCAAATATCACGCAGCGGCTTCGTCCTCGCCGTAACCGTCCTGCTGCTCCACCATCTGCCTGTTCCAGGCGGACGGGTCAGGACGAGCCGGGGCCTTCCGCGGGCGCCGGCGGCACAGGGTCGGCAAAAAATTACCACTGACTGGTTTCACCTGCAAGACTGTTAGGAGCCCAGGTGGACGGGCTTCATCATCCCCCTTCCTCTGACCTCTGAGCAGGTCGGAGCGCAGCACTGCCCAGCCAGAGGACGAGACGGAGGACAGGGATGTTGATGGAGGTGCACAGACATGTCCACTGGACTCTTGTTTTTGTTTTGTTTTGTTTTTCCGACCTGTGCAGTTTCTCACTGCCCTTCTCTCCTCCATCTTGTCTTCTACCTTTGGAATGAGTGTGGAGTTTTAATATTGAGGAGTAAAAGTGTGTATTTATGTTTCACCGCCTTAGTGTGGAGTCACACCTTTCAGTTACAGCGAAGTGTTTCTCTGTGGAACATTTTATCTTTAATCCCCGTTGTGTTGTCTGTTCGGAGAGAGAGAGGTTCCTGCACAATCCGGAAAAGTTTCCAGGATCAGGAAACTACAGAAAAACAAAATAAGAGTATGGAAATAATTTATTTTTCATCCAGTTGTCCAAATTCTCCTTTCCTATATTTTTTTTCTTCCCTTCTGTCTTCTGTATATCCAGTCGATGGTTGTGTTATTTTATTTCTTTTCTTCTGTCCCTCTTGTCATTTCTTCCTTTCATCTTTGAAAATTAAGACTGGAAAACTCTGGATTTTGAGTTTAGTCTTTTCCAGGATAAGAAAACAAAATAAGAATATCGAAACAAAATTCTGTCCTTCCTGTGTCTTTTCTCTTTTCATGCTGTTGTCGTTCCTTCCTTTCTGGTCCTTTCTTCTTTCCCTCACCCTATGTATTCTCTGTTTCCTTCATTTCTTGTCATTTCTATGCTCCCTCTCTTTTGTCATTCCTTCATTTCCTCTTTTGTCCCTGAAAAACTCCATCTTGTCTTCTACCTTCAGGTAGAAGACAAGATGGACTGAGTAGGAAAAGTCTGGATTTTGAGTTCAGTGTTTTCCAGAATCATAAAATTATGGAAAAACAAAAGTGAATAATATGGAGACATATTTATATTCATTTCCTGTCCAATTATCTAAATTTCTTCCTTCATTTCTGAGAAACACCATGGTGCTCTCCTTCCTTCCCCCCTGTCTTTCTTCTCTTCTGTCCTTCCTATGTTTCCTTAATTTTCTTTCTTATAAGGGAGTCTTACATTTTTCTGAATATTGTGCAGGAACCAAGAGAAAAGCTGTAGAGGGGAAAATCCCCTCACCATCAACCCTTACACTTATCTGTAGTTACATCCATAGTGACGTACTGCACTCATTTTAAATGCCAAGTCATCTTATTTATTTCTTGATTTGCTTCCATGTTGCCTTTTTTATCTAATGTTTTGTTGAAATTAAGAGTCTGTTTAATGACCGACTGCAGAAACTTTAATTTGTTTTGGTGTCTTTCCTGGGTTTGGCTTTAAGCGCATCACCACCCAAAGATGTGACCCTCCATCACGTCGTGTCGAGCGAAAACGGGGAATTTGCAGAAAATGAGAATTTGCACACGGACCTCACCTCGCTGCACTGGTTACATCACTGAAGATGGGATGATGATGGTTTTACTCATCAGTGTTCATAACTAGTTATCTCTGTAGACAGTAGGCAGGGGCCGCTTTGAGATTCTCATTGTGTGGTTACATCGAGTGAAGATTTCTTAGATTTACTCGGGAAAATACCGATATTATGTCAGTTTAAAAAAATAATTTATTATGTTGACTTTGATACACAGATAAAATGAATATACAACTGTTAAACTTAGTTGTTGGTTTCTAGTTCTCATTCAGGAAATAACTTTTTTTGTTTCACTGGTCATGAAAAGTTAGAAATTGGAAAAAAAATATATTTTAATATCCAGGTTAATAAACCTAGTGCCAGCAGATTACCTCCTCAGAAGTTCGCACCCATTTTGTTCACGGTTACCATAGCGACAGCTGCTTCTCCATACAATTTTTGAGGTCAGTTTTTTTTGTCGTGACTGTCTTGGAAGCTTTCAGTGCCTGCATGCACATGTAGTTGGATAGATGCCGAGTACGAAAAGAAGCTCGTCTTTTTAACACTTTGGATGTAAATTTTTGTAGAATCTTATTTATGCAACAACAAAAAAAGAATTCAGAAAGAAATCTGAACTTTTTTGAAATACAGAAAAGCATAAAATTTAAAATTGGGATCATAACAAACTTTAGCCTGGAAACATTATCTTGATATGAGTAAGATATTAAGTTTACACGAGACAATCCACATTTTCTTACTACCAGAAATATTTCTAAACAGCCAAATTTTTCACTTACAGTTGGTGTAGTAACCTCCTTTTCAGGCAGCTGACTTGCAGCGTGCAGCGCTTTTTAAAGTATTTATACTTTATTAAGTGCAGAGGATGGCGGCCGTCAAAAACAGCTGTCCATAAAAGCTGATTTTGTCATTCTAGTAGAAAAGTGTACCAACCTTTATTCAGCCAGCTGACCGGCAGTGTGCAGTAGTTTTAAAACTTCTTGCCTCTCAGTAAGAATGCAGGGATGAGGCTTTAGTTTTCTCACCAGAGCAAATACTACAGAACGGATGATTTTGACTTCCTACTTACAAGACGCATACAAACCTTCTGTCAGCCAGCTGAAAGGCAGTGTGCAGCGGTTAAAGAGGACGCTTCTTTTAGTTTTCACAACATAAAATAGCTGTAGATGTTGACTGTAAATATTTCCAAACGGCAGAATGGGCAACTGGATTTTTGGTTTTATCTCGATGTTTTGCCTCTCAGATGAGTCGAGGCTGCAGCGTAGGCGTTAGAAAGACGAAACCTCCGGTTGGCTTTTCATGTTCGACATCGATGGCTTCTTTCACACATCTATCAAACCGTCTATTTCCTGTCTAAAATGTTCACATTACTGTCTGAAGAAGCCTCTTGGTTGACAGGAAACATATTCAAGATAAAAAGAGAGATGAAGTTGCCTTCCTGTCCCAGAATCTACACCAACGTGTAGCTGGATGTTGATTTTCTAGGAGATTTTCTTTCAGCCAGCTGACTAGTAATGTGCAGAAACAAGTGTGGGCAGGGTAATGCTCTCTCTGGCGTCTCTTCTGAAGGAGTTGGGTCAGTTTGGGGGGAAAACGGCTCATGCCTGGTGGGGAAACATATCTTTTATTATTCTAGTCATCAGGATCTGAACTTTCTCACTTTTAGGGATGAACATTTGAGTCTGAGAGGAACCTACGTCTCATTTTTCTTTTTGTTTTAATTGTGCTGGATAAAAGCAGGGAAAAAAACCTGACTTATAAAGAGTTTTGTCCTAACCCCTTCCCTGTACAGTATACAGAGACGTCCATCGCAAGTTGTCATGACATCCTGTGAGGTGTTGCAGTGTTACTCGTTCATCCTACAGATGACGTACCGGTGGCGTTGGAACAGGTTGTGTGTTGCCTTTATGTCTGGAGGCTGTCTTTAATTTATAATCCTGCTCATAGAAATGTTTGTAAATGTGCTTTTTGTTTTAATTTGATCCCGGAAGGGATCGATGCTGTTTGTTATTTTGTTTGCTGAGAAGAATGGACAGTGTTATTGATTGAAGCCATGAGTATCTGCTCCTTTTGTTTTTGTTTCCTTCTCCAAATTCATCACTCTTGCACCTAAGCTACATTATGCAAACTGCTTGCATGGATACAGATTTGCACATTGTTGTAATTCTTGTTTTGTATGTTTTCTTTTTCTTTTTCTTCATGAACCAAAACACCAAGAAAAAGAAAGAGAAGTTGTGGATGTTCCAGGAGTAACATTTCTATTGTTTCTTTTGTTATTTTAACTGTCATGCACATTTTTTAAATCGGCTGTTTTGCAACTTCTGGTGTACAGTTGTATATTGTATGTGTACAATAGCGTTAAAGTTATACTACCTGGTGAAAATGCATGCTTGAAGCAATTATTTTTCATCGTGCAGAGAGAGAAAAGGGACAGTGGAGCCGAGTTTGTTCTCAGCTGTCAGCACTTTGGTTTGGGAAGACACTGACAGGAAGAGATGCCTTACTAAAACACTGTGGATCCTTCGATTATCCTACAAGTGCATCTCAATAAATTAGGATATCATTCAAGATCAAAAGTTAATTGGAAGGAAAAAGTGTGGCTGGGTAAGTAATGAGACTCCAACTTAAGAGTTGCCTTTATAAATCTTTTGAAGATTGCATTTACCTTGGTTGGTTGTGAATCTTTTACCATACTTTGTCCCTCCACTAAACTTTCCATTAATATGTTTTGATACAGCAATTTAAAACGGCCAGCTTCCATTACTGGACAAGTGCCTGACAGCATTTTCCCCCTGGTTGTGGTGGCAATAACAAATCTTGGTTTTAATTATTAAAAACCTATTTTACTGAATTCTTTGGAAGAGTGATAAATCTACTGAAATGATCTGAAATGTTCTTTTCCCCCAATTTTTTTTTATTCCTTAGCCTTCTGCGTAAGAATTTTTCTACCATATTTTTTCCTTCCACTTAACATTTAATTGCCATAATTTTTTTTTTTTCTACTGCACTTTTTATTTAATAAAAATTACCTTCTGTGGCTTTAAGATTTCTACACTTTTCCTTCCGAACTTCTAATTAATTTCCAGATTTTTTCATTATAGATTTCTTTATGAAAAACTGTTTTTGCTTTTAACATTTCTTCCACATTTTTTATTTAATATTTCAAATTTTCTGGGGGGAAAAAATCAGCTTTTGAATTGTCAAATATGTCCATATTCTAAATTTACTGAGATGCCCCTGCAGGTTTTGCTGATGTAGGCTCTTTTCTTGATGTGTGAAGATGTACGGGACACTAATCGCTGCATCATGTCTGGTTTTTATCAGAAGTGGGGCGGGTCTTATTTCACGGCCAGTCATTTTACACCTTAACATGGTTTTTCCTACTAATTGCTGTAGAACAGGAAGTTCATTTAGTCATCAGCTAACTGATGGTTATACTTTTTATTTGGGTCCGTTCAAAAACAGCACGATTTTGTTCAACATTCTCTGTCCTGATAAAAAAAAAAAAAAAGTTTGCTTCTCAGCAGATGTGATCATTTTTTCCAACAGTTTGCATTTCATCTTGTTTTTATTACAAAATGTCTGTACAATACAACAAAAATACACAATCATTTCTTTCAACAACGAGGTGAAAAACACAAACTGTTCAATCTTTAAAAAAAAAAAAAAAATAAACATTTCCTAATGAGTACCAGAGTACAGAAGTGAATGTAACTTGTCTCTGACAGACTGCAGGACGGCAACATGATCGACAGTCGGATTTCCTTCGTCATGTTCCGTCATCCCACCAGTTCTGGAGAAACGAGTCAATGAGCAATCCCCCTCGCAGGAAGAAGCACAAAACAGGGCGGCAGGTCCAAAAGCCGTGTGAGAGAAATATCCTACAGCCTTGCATTACTTTGCTTTCAAAATCTGCCTTTGGATCACAGGCACTATGGTGCAAAAAGAGGACGCAAGTCTGGTCTTGCAACTCAGACTCGGTCAGTAATCTTAACATTTTAAAGCACCTCAGGACACAATCCCTAACAATCACATCCTTGTTCTCACGCAGAAAAGCGTTCTCTTTCTCGCCAGCTTTAAACTTTACCCCCAGATGGATCAAGGCAACTAGAGTAGCATCTGGAAATGGATCTACTTGGTCTGAATTAGTTGTATTTATACAGCATCCCTGGTAAAGATCAGTATAAAGCCTTAAAAGAAACTTGTCTTTCACTGCAGCATCACTGGAAAATGTAAGCAGTTGGGAGGGAATTTTTTTTAAATAAAATTAAGTACCAGCATCCCAATGCAATAAAGGGCACAGGATAGTTTTTCACTTCATTTGGGAACTTTAATTTTTTTTTTTTTTTTTTGCTATATTCTTGGGGTATAAATATGTTGCAACACTCTTGACTTTAAATTAAGTGAAGAAAAATAGTTACAAGTTTTTTTTTTAGATCTCTACAGTCAGAGCAACAATAATAAAAACAATGTTAACACAATTAAAAATGATACAAGCAAGGCTTTACCTAGTCTAGCCGATTTCTCCCCATGATATCTGGCATTATGTTTGAAAAACTCAATATTTTAATTATAATCTCGTGGGAGCTACTATAAAACTCAAACTGGGTGATTACAGGGGTTTTCTGCATAATTATGATCCAAAACTTAAGGTCAACATGTATTTTTCAAATCATTTTAAGGCTTTTTACTCATTTTACCAAGGATAAACGTCGGTTCATGAACATTAAACAAAAAATTTTGATAGGAAATATTTCAATCCGATTGTCACGTCTAATACAGGGTACAGTACTGAAATCTTCTCTACCAGAGTAAAGAATACAACAGCAGTAAATTATAAAAGTGTTATACTTTCACTGACAAAGTTACATGATCTGGAAATTCCTTCAAAAAAAACAGCATAAACAAAAGTAAAAGCACAGAAAGTTGTAGATAACAGCTTTCTTTCTCCATCTTGTAGTGAACGATGGTGCATTAATTTACACATCCATGAAAATAACTCAACTTCTACATACAAAACCCACTATGTAAAAAAAAAAAAAAAAGTTACATGCTGTTGCACAAACTGAACCAAGCTAAAAATACAACTGTTCATTTGTTTTATAAACTATTTACATTTCCAAATGTATTTATTTTTTTCCGTTTTGTTTTAAGCCAGAAAGCAAGTCTCTTGTCCTCCCTACCCCCCATTTCCCTGTTTTACAAAACCCCAGATGTGTGTATGCGCACGCACACACACACACACACACAGGCACATGCTTGTGCACGGATGGCTCACACAGGAACATTCAGACAAACAAATGTCTCTTTGGCTGGTGTGAAGCTGGTGGCACCTTGCAGTCCGTGTGTGTCATTACATTTTGTCAAAAGGAAACAAAGCTCACGCTAAAAATAACACCATCTAACAGCATAGAAAATAGGCTCCAATTATAATATAGTGATATATCTCCTATGTATTTGCAAATATATATATATTTATATACCAAAAACATACTTCATATTGTTTAAGGGCCTGCCACACATATGCCCTTCATTGTGTTTATAGATATGTACTGATAAATCACATTCAGAAGAGTGATGGTAAATTTCAAAGGAAGGCATCAATAAATAGATGTGTGTGTCTGTGTGTGTGTGTGTGTGTGTCTGTGTGTGTGTGTCTGCCATGTTAAACAGCTCCAGCCGTCCGTCAGTCGCCCTTTGTGCTCTGTGTCGCGTCCAGATTGACCACCTGGAGCTCCGTCAGGTTACTGCTGCTGCTGCTGCTGCTGCTGCCGCTCGACTGCTGGCCAATCACCATCTGCAGAAAAATTAATTCTTGTTTTTTTTTTTTTTAAACACAAGCATATCAGGCGAGGGGGGGCGCGGGGGGGGACTACAGACAGCCAATCACAGGTCATCACAGCACACAGCAGCCAGAGCAAATGGACATCCTGCAGCTAATCCACAGCAATCCGTTTGCCCTGGAAAAATAACACTCAAGATGACGCCATAAAACACATTAGCTTAATGTTTGCCACTTCATTTCAATCGTTTTATCCATGCACTGCTACCGTGGCGCTACAGGCGCAGCTCAGTAAGCCGGAATAACTTCAAAAAGTCGATTTATTTGAGTAATTCTATTAAATAATTCTAACTCATTTTATTGATGAAAGTGGAATATTGCAAGTATCAAAAATTAAAACTAAAATAAAAAAATTCTGTTTATCAGAAAATTTGATCAGATATGATTATAAAAAAAGGACTACACAAGTTTTCCTTCCAGTAAATGTTCATCTAAAATGCATCAGAGATTCAATTTTTTGAAGTTAGAGGAAATGGGTATACTGAAAAGCTCATCTTATATATTGATGTGTTCCACACAGAGTGACATATTAGAAGTGTGTATTTCAAGTAAATGTGACATAGGCAATGAAAACCCAAAATTAAGTTTCTAAAAACTTATTTTCTATTTTTTTCTGTTCTTATTAAATAGGAACTATATTTTTTTTAAAAAAAGTATTTTAAATACAGAAATCTTATGCTGACAATTTTCTACTGTATTTCTTCCTTCCACTAAATTTTCAGATTTCAAAAATGGATAAGATGTGCAATGTATTTTTCGAAACCAGAGAATATTAAATATTTTTCACTCTTTAGGTTAGAATGAGTCTGGAATAATTTCTAATCAATTGCCTTTTTTTTAAAATAATTTTTTAATCTGCTTTTGTACAAATTAAATAACTTATGCTACACACTTTAATCTTGATGACACCAATACATATAGATACATTATTCATATTATACACATGTTAATTTCGATGCTTCTATTCAAAAGTAAAAACTGAGTTTATGAAACTCAAGACAAATAATGTTTTTTTTTTGTTTTTTTTTTAAGGAACTATTTTCACTGGTTCCTTTTCTTCCACTACACTTGAAAATAACTTGATTTGATTTCAAATGCTATGTATTCATATTTTTAACAGATACACTGGCATATTTTGGGTTTTCATCAGCTGCAAGCAACAATCATCAAAATTAGAACAAAGTGGTTGAAATCTATTGTTATGTGTAATGAATCATTATTAGTTTACTAAAATAAATGACCTTTTTGATGCGATTCTTTTTTTTTTTTTTTAACCAAGATGCACCTGTGTAATTGGTGTATTCTGTATGTGTTTGGCAACAAATTAAAAACCAACAAGATGCCAGCTGACCACTCCACATTCATTCAATAAAGACCAAACAGGACGCCGCCCTGCGGTCTGTGTGCCCAGTGCTCTGTTAAGATGCATTAGTGAAGTCAACGTGGCATGCTGGTTGCATAGGGAATATGAGAGTTTCACTTGTGAAATGCA